GGTATGCCTGCAGATGTATAGGATTAATGGTAAGTTGTTACGGCTTATCCAGTTAATATATGTTTGAGCAGGCATTCAGTCAGAGTAAACAGCGCTAAATCGAAACCTTTCAGCGTTGGCATTGGTCTCCGCCAAGGCTTCGTTCTGTCTCTGTCCTTTTTGTGTTGTACACGGATAGAATAGTCAAGCGCAGGTAAAGCAATGAATGTATCAGTATGGGAGATGCCGATACGAAAAGATTTTTGTTTGCATTGCACATGACCTTGTTTTGTTGTCATCTGGAACTGATCTCCATCACTCTGGAAAGGTTCGCAGAGGAGTGCAACGTGGCCGGCGTGCGTATAAACGCATTTAAACTGGAAAGCCTAATGGTTTCTCGTTTTTTCCCATTACGGTCTGCAGATAAACGAAGAAGCAGTGGGGCAGGTGGAAAAGTTCAGGTACTTCGAGGTCGTGTTTACTAAAAAGGTGATAGAAAATGGGAGGAAGAGATCGACCGGCGGATTGAAATTGCCAGTGGCTTTCTGCTTAAACTATCTCGAACCGTTGTGACTAAAGCTGAGCTGAGTCTGAAGACTAAGCTCTCGATTTTCAAGTCGAACTTCATCCCCATTCCTCCTTACGGCCATAAGTCGCAGATCATGACCGAAAAGTTTCGATCCCAGGTACAAGCGGCTGAAATGGGCTTTTCGAGACGAATTGATATGCTCACGCTTTTCGATATTGTCCATAGTACAGATATCTGATGATATATGAGCGTTGATGTAGAACTGCTGTTTCTCTAGCTTGAGAAATCACAGCTGCATTGGTTTGGGCACATACTGCGAATGCCTCCAAAAAGAAACGCGATACAACTACTGCTTGCTCAGCCGTCCGGCAGAAGACCCAAAGGAGAGCCAAGAATATTCTGGGGCAAATGTCTTGAAGGACTCTGCCCCACATTTGAGTTATTTTCTGCCGAAGGTCGCTGGCTCATGAGCGGAACATTGGAGACACTGTCGGACACGATCTGAATGAATTAGCGGTCATCGAAACTGACTGGCTGACTGCTCGCCCGACCGACCGATTGACTGAAGGCTAATTGTTATGGGCAGTATTCTTTCTCAACGTTTATCGTGCTGTTTTGCAGAAGTACAGCACACTTACTCATTGGTTAGTTGCTGCCAGATGGAGCGGTTGGTTCGTTGCTTTTCTTCGCTTTTCGCATCATCCTACTCGTCTACTCTGAACGTTGGACGCCACTTTCAGCAGGTCATCTCAGGGTAGGCTTTTTGTACTCTATCCGTCGTTTTTACTTGTCTCGGTGCGTGAACTGCACGTCTACTTCCACTTCATTCCATATCTAACATTGTCCATGGCTGTGATGGTGTCTTAGTAAGCAATGCTCTGGTATATCATACTTCGAGAGGTACTTCTGTTCCTCGGTAAAAGGATCATCCGCCTTCAGCCGAAGACTTTCAAATCGCTTGCAGCAGTTGGTCTTTTACGGAATTCTGTCGGCGCCAGTCGTCTTGCTGGCTGACAGACTTACCCTGAAAGAGCTACAACTGCGAAAGTTCTTTTGCTGTGCGTTATTCCATCCAGCTACCGCCTCATTCAAAACAAGCCTAAAGGCTACGTAGCACATCAGAAAATTCAGTAATACATGTGTCATCCTCTTCCAAGAGTCTTGGCTATCAGGTGAAGTCAGCGATCAGTTGGTGTTGTTTGCGGGCTTTCAATCATTTTGAGTCAATCCTCACTTGGCAACCTGATTCCGCAATGGCGCCGTAGCCGCTTCTATCCGATTGGACTGGTGTCCAAACCCAAATCTGACTGAAGTATATCTTTCAGTATGAACCGAATAGACTACCTTACTGTCCATTGCTGGCGTTGGTTTATGCCTCTGCATAAGCATCAGATGGTCGGAAGCGTTTATCTCTCACCCGACTGCATTATGCACGAACTAGAAGATCGTTTTTTTGTTTCTGTCATCTGAAGTACAGAAAAATCTGGTCATGCTGGCCGGCGACTTCAGTCTTCACGGTCTGAACTTTCTTGGCCTTGTAAATATTGTACTGTTTCATATTCGGTGCAACTACGTTAGATAAGGTGTTTGTCAATCGCTTTGAAGCTTACTCCACTCACAATGCTGCTCCATTTGGTTGTCGGCTCACGCATTGTTCGAATTTTGCCAAGCTCCCAAGCCATCGATCGGCAAAATTCTACACGCAGCACCGTACAGTCTTCGCCATCC